CGACCTCCTGTCTGCTCTGTGGAAACACAACCTGCAGTTCAGCTGAAAAGATTGTTTTGTCAGGCGACTGTCGGTCACAGTCGAGTCAACGATGGCTCCATGGTTTTTCCAAAACAGCAAAGTATTTATTTATTTTTTGCAGATTTTAGGTCAAATTTTCAAATGAGACACGTAGAATAAAGTGGGGTTTTTTTGTAAAATGGTGTGATTTTAAGCTTAGATCTGCTCATTTTTCTTGACGAAACTGTTTTCCACACATTCAGAAACAATCAAAAGTCTGTTTTAACAGTTTGTGGTTTTGCTAAATGGTTAAATTCTGGCGATTTATTAGATTAGATTTGGATCAAGCGACAAGTTTGGGAGTTTAGAGGTGGCAAGATTAAACACTTTGAAGTTGACTCGACCCCAAACTTGCAAAAAATATATTTTTGAACCATATTTTTTTTGCATCACAAAGACGCCAAAACTATCACAGAACCAGCAACCAAACACGATGCTCCCAAAGTTTGTGCTTTAAAGTGTGCGATCAGAAACCGTGGATAAAACGGAGGCTTTGGAAACGTTCACACGACGCTAAAGGACACGTCTGAGGAGTCGAGTTGGCCGGATTAAACTTTTGTGATAATAAATAAATGTTTGACTTTTCGGTCAGAACAGTCTCGTGTAAAGAAAAAAAAAGTGTCCTGCAGCAGCAAACATTTAAATTAGTTTCTGAATCAGACGAACAAACTTTCTTCTTTCTTCTCACTTAAAATCTGATCGATGTGATCAGTGGAGAGGAATCTGACTGAACCACGGTGATGTGTTTATAGCATAAATGTTGACTTCATTATTACTCAGATTGGTTTGCTCAAGTGCAGACAATAGCTCCAGTTCTCCTAAGATCATATTTCCTCTTCACAGATGCACAATGCTTTCTTTCTTTTATTCTTCTCAAAGTCTTTCAAAGCACAATGGACAATACAAGCAGCTTCACTTATGTGTGATTGGCTTAAAAACGCACCCATAGTTCAGTCGATGTCTGAATTTGATATTTTTCACGTTTGCTGTCACTCCTGGTTCTTCCACAGTCGACATGTTTTTATTTGCAGTTCTGCTGCTGTTGAAATGAAGGTTTATTTCATCGTTTTTACTCATTCGAGCCACCTTCTCCTCCCGTATTTACCGGACGAGGTCAGAAATGACACATTTCGCTGCCTCACATGACAACAGCGGCGTTAAAGTGCAGCTACTGTAGCTCTGACTGTGTAACTAACCTTCGTCCAACCTTTCGCAGCTTTGCAATGATTAAAAGGCTCAAGTTAGAGGCCGGCCACTGTTGAGCAGATTTATTAGTTCATTTGTTAATAAGGCTGAAGAGTTCATGCTTGACGGTGAAGGCTGAGCGGCTAAATGTTGCTGTCAGGATGATTTATAGGATTTAAAACACACCAAACCCGGTTGAGGACTCGGTATAATACAGCATTATAGGTGTTTACGATGTTGGGAAAGAATGGTGGCTCGACAGGCTATAGATATTTAAGTATTT